ATACAGAATAGGGTATTGTACGTGAGCGAACAGCCAGTGATGCTAGTGTTAATAACTGTAATTTACGTTTTGCCACACAACCAGCGCTAGCGCTACCTCCCTTATCTGATGGAACCACAGTATTGGTTACCGAGCTCATTTATGATTGGGCAGTTAAAGTTCGCTTCGTTTTAGTTCATTTAATTTTTGTAGCGTTAACGTAGCCTTCCAATGAGGACGTTTTTCTTTAAATTAATATCGTAAGCAATCAATCCGCCTCAAAGAGACACATGCTCATAGAGGATCTCAAACTTAACCGTATTGGTCATAAGCCTGACAGAAACTGAATAATTCACACGGTCTCGAATGAGAAATGTTACTTATTCTTTTTTAATTTGGAAAGACATCAAAATATGGTGGTAAACTGCAGAAATGTACTTTTAATTTGCTTACAATTCTCATTAGAAATGCTGGAATTATTCTCTATTAACCAATTCTTCTGACGTCACCTGCATTGCACCTGAATGAAGTGGCTTCTTAAAATGACTTTTTGATAAAGTTCATGTTAAAACTTAATTAAGGATAGTAAGAATTTGATACATTTGCGGTTATTATAATTCTAGAAAATATTTATTTACAAACTTAGTGTCTCTTCTTTCTGCCAGATTGTTTTACATTGGAAATAGCACGAGGCTGTGACATGCGTATTAGTTTAGCAGGTGTTCCCCCCAAATACGTGGTAACATTGTACCTGGGATTCAACTAACAGCAATCAGGCCCTAAAAAATGTAGTTCAATGTTTTCATAAAAATAACGAAAAAGAAAATTAGGAAAACAGAAAACAACAAAATACAAAAAAAAAATTACATACGAAGTCGGCGAATACCCATTAGAATTGAGGGTAACATGTCCTTGTGAACCGAGCGGTACCAGAACTCGTTTAAATGGCTATCTAACAATGTTGAGTCACGCATTGCTCCTAATATTTTCGTTTAATGGTCTCGCACAAGTTAGCGACTTATTCTCATAGAAGGACTGGAATAAAGATCTGAAAGATCGATTAAAAATTGAAATGATGTTAGAATAAAGGATTCAGATTGTTCTCCAAGTTATTCATACGGTAAAAATATTTACCATTTTTAGATGTCACATCGTTCTCATATTCGTCATCGTCATAATAGTGAAGAAAATGACAATAGTGATGAAGAAGAACAAGTTGTGGAAAAAAAAGAAGATGGGTAAGGAGTTTTCTCTTCTATTATTCTACCTATTAATATGTAAATAACTTTCTTTGATTTTCTGTTTTTGAAGTGCGATACAAGATTTAAAATTAATGCAAAAGTTACGACAACGAAAAAAAGGTTTAACAATCGATGAACTTGCATTGGGAAAACCACTTGTTAATGGTAAAGATGATGTAAGCTGGAAAATAGTATTAGTAGTAATACTATCTATCAATTTATTTTGTTTATTTTAGCATGATCCATTTAATTTGAAAACAGGTGGATTAATCGACTTAAAAAAAGCGAAATCCAAGTATATTTCAGCTGTTTATATTAGAAAAATACAGTTGTTCTTTTTATTATTTTGTTTAGAGATGTCAATAATATCAATAATAATTTTGCACGAGAAACAAATACACGTGATGAAGATACAGAAATGCAACGGTATATCGAAGAACAATTAGCAAAATTACATGGGAAAAACGAAAATGATGAGAGTACACCTAACCATATTAATGAACGAAATTTTAAAATAAAAAAACCAGAAGATACTCTATTTCATGTTAGTCAACATTTAATTGTTAATCATTCACAACATACATCAGAAGAAATGTTAAGTGAACAAATGTTATCAGGTATACCAGAAGTAGAAGTGGGCGTCGAGTAAGTGTTATGTTTCTAATTATTGATTGATTTTTGTTATACTTTAATGAGATTTATTATTATTTTTTTAGCGAAAAAATTCGTAATATTGAAGAAACAGATCGAGCAAAACGAAAACTATTACAATCATTACGTGATAAAAAAGTAGAAAAAATGACAGCAATGATTCAACCGGCACCAAAAAGTACAGCTGTGAATTTTGTTCAACATAAACGATGTAGGTTTATCCTTGTTGTTGTTCTCAAACAACTATCAGTACTTCATTTATTTTTTTTAGTCAATACGGATATGATGGAAATTTTACCAAAACGATATAAACAAAATAAAGACATTGTTCGTCCACAACTAGTGGTCGGCAATAAAGAAAAACATCCAGCAATATTACGCGGTAAGAGAGTGTAGATTCTATCCACATCAGAATTCCATTTCAAAAAAATACGATGATAAAAAAGAATGAACGAGGGTAGTAGATCTTTGATATTATCAATGAGTTAAAGGATTTTCTACGAACATTATTTACTAAACGTATTTTTGTCTCGATGTAAGAGAAGGTAATAAATGATGGGTTTTTTCTCCCTTTTTCTTAAATTTTTCTCGCAAACAAATTGAAGGTGTTATTCTTATTCTCATTCTTTCTTATCTACTTTTGTGAAGTAGACTGAAGAATTGATAATATTAGTCACCTATCGAGTAAAATATAAAATAAATATGGTAATAATGTTGTTTATTATAATCTCTCTGTATGTTGATGCTAGAACTTTTATTGTTTTTTAATTTTTGTCTTTTTATCCTTTTTTAGATCCAAAGCCACCAGGAAATCCATCTGATAAACCAATATCAGAAACAGCTACAGATGATTTAGTATTTGATCATTTTCGTAAAAATTTACACAATAATAGAAACTGGAAAATAAGACTCGCTTAATTGTTGTATTTTGTTTTTGAGTGTATGTGTAAAATTCTTTTAAGATCTCTATTGTCCTCTCCTTGAGTAAATGTATATTCGTTTTTTCAAATATATATATATATATATACAGTAATTTATTATATTGTTCAGTTAATGCTCTAAATTTAAATCGAAGAGATTGTTTGTAAAATATTACATGAATTTAGTTTGAAAATAGTCTTTATTTATGAAATATTTTATTATTTCAGATGTCGTCATCCGGTTCATCATCTATGCAACAATTTTTAATATTGGCTAAATCAGTTCGCGGTGCAGCGACAGTTGATTTAGTTAAAAAAGTCATTGAATTTCCCGACATATTTGGTTTTGAAGAATTGTTACGTATTGAAAATATAAACGAATTGAAACAAAGTGAACAACATGTACCTGTTTATAATACTCTTGAATTATTTGCCTATGGAACATATTCTGATTATGAAGCAAATCGTTCAAAATATATTCAGTTAAGTGCCGGAGCAAAACGTAAATTACAGTTATTAACACTAGCATCACTGGCTGTTCGCTCACGTACAATACCCTATTCTGTATTATTAAATGAATTAAAAATAAACAACGTACGTGAATTAGAAGATTTAATTATTGAAGCAATTTATTATGATATTATTCATGGTAAATTAGATCAGTTGAACAATCGTTTAGATGTTGAATATTGTATATCGCGTGATATCGATTCTCGTCAATCGTATGATCATTTGATTAAAGTTCTCGATAACTGGTGTCAGAATTGTGCACAAATTCTAACGGTATTAAAACAAGAAACAGTTCGGGCAAATGATAGGAAAAAACAAACTATAGCAGAACATGAACGATTTGAACAAAATCATTTATCAATGATTAAAGCTGTTCAAATGCAACAAGAACAAAGTGGTAGTGGTATGCCAGGTCGAGGAGGAAATGAAAATAATAATCAGAGTACATTATCATCCTTGTCAAATTTAATGTCAAGTGCAACAGGTGGCGGAGATAAACATTCGAAAAAAGGTACTAAAAATACAGCAAAACGTTCATTTCGTTGAAACGTAGAAATAGTCAGTCATATTGACTTTTTTCGTTAAAACAAGAATGCGATCATATTTTTATTATGAGTGTCTTTTTTTCAAACTTTTGTCTATATTTAAACAATAAAACATAGAATTCTATATATAAAAAATATACTTTTACATCAACATTGAAACATAAAATCGACATAGCTGAACAAATTTTTGCTAATATTGAGCTAATTTCGTCGTTGATGTTTCCTTAGTTCTGACGAAACAAAGCAGCACAGTGGACAAATTAGGCCAGGCACGTGGACATGTGCTAGAAGAGTGGTACGACAGTCTGTAAACACTCTTTTTATAGGTTTTCGTATGTGCTCTTTCCAGTGGCATGGTTTTCAAACTTTTAAAGTATGTTAATACAGGTTTTTCAGAGATCCGATCTTTGGAAAACCAGTACGAACATACTTTGAAAGTTTGAAAACCATGCCACTGGAAAGAGCACATACGAAAACCTATAATAAGAATGTTTACAGACTGTCGTACCACTCTTCTAGCACATGTCCACGCGCCAAGTAAAAAGTGCTGTGTCCGTACGCTAAAACCGTCACATTACGTTGGATCGAAACATTTTTTATCCAGAAATACTTCATGTGCACATTATTCGATACAGTTTTAGGCGCTGATTTCAAATATATAATTACTTTTGCGTAAAAGTGGTCCTGGGCTGAGAAAAACAGACTTTACTTCAAAAGCCAAGGGCTTTGGGGAAATCCTACAATCCAGTCCAGGATCATTTGGGCTAACACCATATGTGTACTATCAGGAGGTGAACATTTTGGTGAAATACCAAAAAATGGTAGGAGATGAAAAAAATTATTTTTCTCTCTGCCGAAGTATTCAAACAAAACTTTTTTTTAATGAATCGATAGGCCGAGTGGTCTACTTTTAGAATATGTATGATTTTTCAGAAAATATTTTCTAGTTTCGAAAATAAAGCATTCTATTCTCACACTACTAAGTTTTTCGGTAAAATTTTCACTACACGTTTTCCAATTAACTGCATCTGGAACAAAAATTTTAATACCGTTAAATAGCCCATATTTCAAAGTATATTTGCCACTATTTGAATCTTTAAAAAGTGCACTTTCATTTTCCATCTAATGTCTACGTGATTGCCCACTGTGACCAGGTAGCTAATACACAAAAATTCAGCGGTACAGACTGCTCAGTACCTCTTTTCATACTTGCATGTGAAATCAACAGAGATATTGTGCACAACTGATATGCTTGTAAACGATTTTATACCGTTAATTTATATGATTTATAATTACAATAATATCTTAACTTTTTTGAGCTATGCTGGCGTATTATAAATCAGTCTTTCCTTCTGCTAATATGGGTAAAACAAAGTATATTTTATGTAGTCTTACTCTGTGTTACTGTTGGAAAATGCTCTTTTAATTAATAGATGTATTAGATCCGGTATACGTTGTTGTGTATAAGTAGTTTATTTAGAAACTGAATACCATCTCTTTTGCACAAAAATAGCGTATATTTATATCAAAGTTTACACGAAAACTCGAATATTCTAGAGTTGATATACTAGACTGGGAATACATGTAAGCGATCACAGAAAATAAAGAAACCAAGAACTAACACTGGAGAAAGAACGAGAACGAAAAAGATACATATAGTAGACAATAAAATAACACTGGAGAAATTCCTGACAGAAAGAAAGAGAACGAATATATATATACATGTATGATACCTATCATATTAGTCTCTCTTATGGCACGTCTTTAATATGTGCCATAACAAGATGGCTAAGAATTCTAATTTCTCATCCTAAATATCAATTATAAGCATATAAAAATAAAAATGCATGTCTCTCTCAATAACCAACTAAAGCATTTAAAACTTTCGAAAAACACTGCTTTATGTAATAGGACCATTCAAACAAAAACTGATTTAACCTTGGATCGTTTTAGAGAAAAATGTATCTTACTGTACAATAGTCAGGAGAGCATCACTAACGAGAATATAAGCTGTTTATCTATTGATACTTTCTAGGATTTGGAAAAAATGTTCATAACTATCTATCTCCATATCTCACAGAGTTTCGTCACATCTTATTAGTTGTAGGAGCCTTTAAGGATAAAGTAAATCCGTGCGTTACAAGATGCAATAGTACGTTTTGTTATTTAGCTCAGTCGAATTTGAGGTCGATTATCATCTCTTCAATTACATAATTAACATGCTGATCTACAATAAACGAATTATAAAAGTGCGCATTGAACCATATAATATCAAAATTATTTGTGAGTTTATTTATGAACGTGAAAATCTTGTTAGTAACAGTTAAAAAAATTTTATGTTCATGATGAAAAGAGTTAAATAAGTAAGAAACTTAAACTACTGCTGTATTGACTGAACGACAAAATTTGCCATTCCCAGTAAATAAGCTCTTGCATGTACATTGAAATGATCCAATTGTATTGATGCCTAAATAATTATAATAATATATAATGAATTTTATCAAGCTTTATGATTACTCGCCACATATTGGTGTGAAACAGCCAGAAGTAAACGCATTCTAACGGGAACATTTCTCCAAGTACCCGCCTCCATTTTCAAAGATATTATGTCTGTCTATAGAGAATATTGTTCTAAGAAAAAGCTCAGAAGGATTTTGGCCTTTTGTTGCTTCTTTCGAAAGTCAGGCCTATTTTTTGTTTGTTTATAGAGAAAACCACGATAACACTAGTTTTTGTATCTTCGTAAAAATAGTGAGAGAAGAACTGGAATATTTTTCAACAAATGTACTAGTGAACTGTTAATATCACAGCAATCCTTCAACTTTCCTACGTATTAAGCCATTGAATTTTTACTTTGTTAGGAAAACCCTATGTTCGGAAACGGTGTTTTTCCATACACTCGCATTTCTCTTTGACAGAGTTGATCAAGTGTGTTTCTATATTGGTTTTCTCCAACAAAAGTGTTCTGAACTAGGGAAGAAAACACATAATATAATTGACTCGGTCTCATGTTAGTGAAAAATTTAAACGAGTCTAATTATGTTCATTGTTCTAAGACGGTTTTTCAACTCATTATTAATTTCTTGGAATTTTTGTTTTCATGTATTATACATGTATCGAGATGGCGAGTAGCTAGCAATGAGTCTAATTAACATACAATTAAATAATAACAAACTCAAACAGGTGTGTCCTATATTGTGTGCAAACAAAGAACGTTCTTCCGTACCTTTTTATAATATGCTCTTATGACGAAAATAGAGTTTCCCTCAACATGTAGAAAAGTTGAAGAATCGACCATTGCTGTGATATTACAGATCACTAGCACATTTGTTGAAAAATATTTCAGTTCTTCTCTCACTATTTTTACAGAGATACAAAAACTTTAATGTGATCGTGATTCCTCTATAAACAAACAAAAAATAGGCCTGACCTTCGAAAGAAGAGAGGCCAGAATCCTTTTGAGTTTTTTCGTAGAACAATATTCTCTATAGACAGGCATAATATCTTTGGAAATGGAAGCGAGCACCTGAAGGGGCTCCCTCGCAAGAAGCAATCTTAAGTTAGAAATATTTACATATGGCATTTTCTTTGTCACAATCATGCATTCCAGTTAAGCATTCATCTAAATCTACACATTCTGTTCCGTTTCCATGAAAGCCTTGTTTGCACCGGCACAGATATGATCCTGGTTCATTGATACATATTCCGTCTCTGTGGCATTTGTGTGTATTATACAAACATTCATCAAAGTCTCGACATCGATTTTCCTGTTCAATATAACCACTTCGACAATTACATCTGTACGTTCCACGCATATTGATACATTTTGAGTTATGTTCACACAATAATTGTGAACCATAAATGAGACATTCATCAAGATCTTGACATTGTTTCAAATGTTGACTGTAAATATAACCGTGTGGACATACACAGCGATATGAAGCCATCGTATTTAAACATACGAAACCTTTTGTTGTATCACATGGGTTTTTTAATCTTTCACACTCGTCAAGATCATCACAAAAGTATCCATCGCCTTCATATCCATTTTTACACAGACAATAATATGAACCAGGTACATTTGCGCAATATGCTCTTGCTGAACAATTGTTTATTGTATGACATTCGTTGATATCCACACAATCAGTCAATCGACTATCTATTTTCATTTTTGTTAATTTGTACGTGACTAAACCATGTATGTGATGAACAACTGACGTATAACCTGCTTTACATTGACAAATGAATGACCCAATGGTATTGATACAGTCAGTATCATCAGGACATTTATGTAGATCTGTTTTACATTCATCAACATCCAAACATATATGTCCACTACCGATAAAACCCTCTATACATCCACATTCGTAACTTCCATCAGTATTGATACATTTTCCATATTTTGGATGGCACATCGTTTTATTCATTTTTAATCCGTAACATTCGTCAATATCAGAACATTGGTTCGTACTAGTCCTCTCATATCCAAACAAACATCGACACTAGAAACATATGAGCATAAACTAGCAGCACATATCTGATTCTTACAAAGCACGGCGAATCCGGGCTAGAACTTCTTACTTCATAACTTCCAATGGTGTTGATGCACACACTATTCTTCATACATATGTTTGTTTTTGATCCGTTTGCTGCGAGACATTCATTGACATCCTCGCATTTTGGAATCATGTTATCGATTAGATATCCCGTCGGACAAGTGCATGATGTTTCGGAAGGTTTACACCAATCCGCTGGTGGATCATTCCACCGATTAATTTTCGTACAAACATGTCCATTTCCATGATAGCCTGATTTACATGAACACTAGAAGTAGCAAATTAGTCATGAATGTTTAAAATAATGATAAAGAAATTGACGTACTTCATAACTGCCAATTGTATTCAAGCACAGAGCCTTTGAATCACAATGATGTAATTGAAAAAAACATTCTGACAAATCTTGACAGTGTGAACCGTTTGAATAAAATCCTGATCTACAAATACAACGATAGGATCCATAATTATTTAAACATATTTCTGATATCGGTGAACAAAGTGCTTGAGTTGTGGCACATTCATTTACATCATAACAACTGTGACCATCACCCACGAATCCTTGCTGACATTTACATTTGTATGAACCTGGTGTATTAATACAAATGGCATAATCATGGCAAGAGTGAAGGTATAGTAAACACTCATTAATATCAGTACATTCTCGAATATTGAACTGATAACCTTGACTACACACACATTGGACAGAACCGTCTAGTATTGTACATTTTGAATTGAATGGGCAACTAATATTTGTACAAGCTGGTGGAGGTAACTTACACAAGAGACCACGAGGAATTCCAGGTCGTAGCCAGATATAATGATAAATAGGTGGTAGTTGATTTAAATATATGCCATCGTGTACATGAAACGCTGATGGTGAATGATAATAATGGTGGACATGGTGTTGATGTTTAGAGATAGGATAATGTTCGTCGTGGTGGGTTAAATAATGATCGTAACGATGAGAGACTGGTAAATGGTCCTCGAAATGGTGTGAAATTGGTAAAGGTGATGGCACATCATGTCCATCAAAATAATGTTGAGTTCCGATACCGTCGTTGTAATACAATGAATTATCATCAAGAAAACGTTTTCGATGTTTACTATTTATCAATAGTTTTTTTGTTAAATCGCTAATTGTCATATTATACTTCTCTGATGTTTGTTTCAATTTATTCAATAAGTCAGAACCATTTTCTGTCAACAGAGTATCATTTTCAAGCGATGATAGGATATTATCCAGACGTAAAAGAGAATTTGTATCAGTTTCATTCTAAAAGCAGCGAAATACCACCGGTGACTAATTTTAACTGACATTTTGAGTGTATTTACTTGAATTGGATCAGTTGAACGACGGCCAATATAATAGGCATTTTCTTGATTAGCATAATAATTCGGCGACTGAGAAGTAGTCATCATTAGTAATGGATTATTATATGACATTATATTGATGAAGCGTGGAAATGTTGTATCAGAATCCAAATGATCTTGAATCGCAAGACATGTACAACTACATAAGAAACACTAATGTTATTAGGTGTAGTATGGTATTCAAAACTTGCCTATAATTGCCAATTTCATTTACACAGATGGAATAAGGGCGACATTCATCTAATTCTAATTGACATTCATCAACGTCAATACATTCCAATCCGTCTCCGGTATAACCAGGTTTACACAAACAACAATAGGAACCTACAACAAAACTACAGTTAAAAAAAGTTGAAATCCGTCGAAGAGGTAGAACCGACATAAAAAAATAAAGTCGTTACCGATCACAAGTTTCGAGTTTAAAACTGACCAGTTTTGCGGCTTTTAACAAAAAGTTTAAAATTCTGTGACCGTTTATAGATTTAGAGATTAGGTCAAGGATAAGCACTGGCACTGGACTTGAGAAGAATGATGGCATAAGTGAGGTTGCATTTTGTTCTGTATGACAAAACAAACATACAATGTTTTTAACGTTTTGACTGTAAAAAAATAAGACAATTGTGTAAGAAAAAGAACTCAACACTTATTGAACAATAAAGTATAGTTATTAATTTATTATTTATTTAGTCTTTATTTATTACGTCATTATACTTTGTTCATCTCTCTAGTGTAATCTACGGTACATTATACGTATATCAAAAACTGTAAGTGTGTGAAAAAGCACAAAAATATGTTCTTTTTTAAACCGACAAAAAAACGGTCGGTTTTCATTACTAAATCGGTACCGTACCAGACTAATAAACCGGTCACCGGTCTACCTGTTCACCTCTACCCCTGGGCCATCGTATGTAATGCATTATATTTGATTCATTTTAGACTAAACAAGCTTAAATCTCGTTCTGTGCTGTTATTTCTTATAGCACATTTTTTGTATTGTTGCCATTGTTTCTGAATTGAGTATTCCATGTAGCAAGTGCATAATATAAAAAATTAATTTACTATTTCGGATTTTACAGCAAACACTTACAATTCATCTAGCATACCTATTGTATTAACGCAATAAGCCATTGAATGACATTGATGAGTTCCTGTTGTGCACTCATTTTCATCTTCACAGAATATGCCATTTCCCACATAGCCTGGACGACAGATACACTATGAAATGAGCAAAAAAACATTTAATTCAAACGCACAACGTTTTAAATATCTCACTCCAATCTCAATACTAAATTATGTTAAAGTATGCTACGTACGTGATAAGTACCAACAACATTAACACACGTTGTTCTTTCTACAAAGAAACTACACCGTAATAAAAGAATATTATTTTCATAAAGTTGAGATAATCCATGGCTATCGCATATGACTGAATACTTGAGATTCCTCACTTTAACGCGTGTTTTGCAACTAACAACGCTTCGCGCGAGACTAAAATTTCATCATACATGAATAAATAAACACGGTCGTTTTGAGCAAAAACTACTAATAAATTCATCGACCCTGCTAACAAAAACGTTTTGTCTATGTCTACATGAAGTACGTAAAGAAGAATCGTTAGCTCTGTACTAGGAAAAATAAAGTACATGAATGAACGGCAGCTGTCTTTTCTACCCTTTTTCCGTTCAAAAAATCAATCACAAACATTTTCTTTAACATATTTAAAATTTTTTACATTTTTTGATTGGTCGTCTATTACGACTACACACTTTCTGATGTTGAGTGAAAACTAGGTCGTTTACACACTTTTCAACAGTGTAATTAAATGTAACGACAGTGTTTAAGCATCAGCTATGACACTTTGTATACACCATAATGTCATAATGTGTGTTCCTAAACCCAAAAGAGCTTTTTAATTTCGTTGAAAAACCTTTTTTTAAAAATCCTCCAAACATTGCTTTAATAAAACATATCGGTTTATTCAAATATCTCAGGGATATAGTAATCAACTAGATGGGTTGTATAGGCAGAATGATTAACTTTTGGGGTTTAGTAAACGTTGTAATAAACCCCTTCTCTTTTAAAATACCATTTTTACTTCAAAAAACCCCTGGCTACTACTAAAGCCTAAGATGCGAGCCTGCTGAGTAACTAAAATTTTTCATTGAGTAACGCATTTTTTGACTAAAATTTTTTTCTGAGTAACTGAGTTACTCAGAAGCTGGAGAAAATTACTTACTCAGGTGTATAAAAGGCAGTTTCTCTACTTAAATTTCTTAAAAAATTTGAGTAAGTCAAAATTCTTTGAGTAACTGTATCAAAAAGAGAGGGTGGTATGCCACCCCCTAATCGATAACGCTGCAATATATAACGAAGAAAACATTTCAGATTACCGGAGCCAATTAAACCGCTAGACGATCTCTTCCAGCGACTAGTGGAACACTGCAACAAAGTCGTCAAATAGCAATAAATAAATAAATTTTAATAGTAAGCTACCGATTGTCGAGAAATCTACGATGAATGCAGCTCAAATGACGGCAAAACTTTTCAAGAAGAAAGTAGCTCCAGTTCATGGAGCATACAAAAGATAATCAACAATCAAGACCAACATTTCAACAGGTTCCCACATTAGTAACATGTAAACACGTTATTTTCGACGAGATAACACGTGCGAACAATCGATCAAACAAAAGAATTCAATCCTACTTTGCTACACAATTGTCAATATATTATGGTGAAAATCATTGTCGCTGGAACATTTAATATCTATCTTATCGGACTACATTGTACTCACGCCAGACGAATTACTACTCTATATCAATTCCGTCGCGGAATTTTAAAAGCGTTTGGTCAAAACTGGCAGATTTGGACTCTCCATAGTCAGTTACCTTGTACACAACAAGTTTTAAATGGAAATACTGTAGAAAACTTTCTCAGTCTCATTCGGTCTCCTCTAAGAATTTCATAAAAAATTCTTTTGTAAAACAATGGAGAGAATTTTTCTGAATTACTCCGATTCAAAACTTGTTGAGTACAAGGTAACCGACTATGGAGAGTCCGAATCTACGATCAGTTTTGGCTGAACACACTTTTAAAACTTTGCGATTGGATTGTATGTGTTAAAAACCCCGAAATCGTTCGATTCTTCTTGTGAGAATTAGATTTAGCAAGCCAAACGTCTGTTGGATGAAGTGAATATGTTGTCATAAAAAAGCTCATTCTGCAGAACATTCGACGTTAACAGTAACTGGTTAGTAAAGGCATGAGACCTACTGATTGAATCGCAAATATGACATAGAATTTCGTATATAGTCGAAAATATTGGTTGAACGTTTCATACTTGATGAACGATATTGCAGTCCTTATTGTATTATGAAACAATTGCATCTTGTCACTTATACTGTAAAAGACGACGAACTCGAATATACTATCTGTTTACATTCGTTTCTAACGAACTATATCATCATTTTTCTTACCACCGTTGGCGTTTTGTTACTAGGATAAATAGTGATTTTTACAGTAAAAGATTGATAACTTAATGGTAATAATCAAAAAACCTGTAGTTTAATCTGAATTCTATGGTATACTTCACTTTGACAATGATGCCAATCTGTCGCACATTCATCTAAATCTACACAATATGACCGCTCATCCGGAATAAAACCTAATGGACTACAAAATAAAACGACGAATTTAGTCCTGTTATTTCTACGAATGATCATAGAACCGTACCACTGCGTAAGACATTCTTTTTGCCCGTTCATATGAAATATGGTGGCTATTCGACAATAAATACAATGAAAACGTGACAATTGTCTCGTGCATCCAATGCATTCCGGTGCACATAACCAATTACAATAACCATTTAAATAATCATTTTCCAGTTTTGAGATAGTTTGTAATGCTGTTGGCATACCGATATTTGGAACTGTAAATTGTGTTTGACATACTGGTCGAAGATTACAGGTAAATGATGACAACTCATTTGCATTTAACGTTCGCGGCTCAATATTTTTCAATTGTACTTCGCTTTCACCTGAACATATACAACATCCAACTAATATTCATTTCATGGAAAATAAAGTCATACCAGATCCAAATGTAAAAAAATTTGGCGCTAAATAATCATAATCGGTATAGGATAAAAATATTTGTGTTTCTTGAACTAAACCAGAGTTAACACCATACAATATATGTAAACCCGTTTTTTGTCTCATATTGATTTCATAATTAAAACATATAATGTAAGACATGAACACTAAACTAGCGCCAGAGGTACCACTTTCCGATGCATTACAAATAGCCACGATATGAGCTCCTTTCTGGAATATGACACCATGTGGAGTGATTACAAATGTATACCATGTATGTTGAAATCGTGGTGTAGTAGCAAATACAACGAAAAGACTATCCGTAGTTGATGCAACAAATGTTAAACATTCAATATCTTTTGCTGACACAGGTTTTACTAAATACAAAAAAAAGACGCTGTAAAATATAACAGTAAAACCCAATAGTACATGAAACTGACCCGGAACAGCAAATTGCCAAGCATTCTTAATTAAAATGATACAATGTCAATTATTTTAATGGAGAAAGTAGAAGAATACTCACACGCCAAACTAGTCCACATGGCTGCAATACATAATAACGACGTCTTAGTGAGGATCTTGATAGAATATCAACTAGATTTCTATATTCGACTTGTCCAATTTCATAATGGTGTGAAATCTCAAAACAAGATAAAAAAATAATACTATTCTGTGAGAATATTGAAAGGAAAGTATGTTCTTACTTTTATCCATGGTTCTTTTTTATTGCAAAACTGCATATGTGAATGATTTAAATATTCCGGAGATACAAACAATAATTTTCCATCTAAATATTGTAATACTAAATAATTGATAATCACGTACTGTCGAGAATTCCATTCATTCATATCATTTACAAAACTTCGTTTTGTTTCAAAAGATCTTCTTACAGTCCAAACTTTTTCAATTTGTTGAACATCAACAGTCACATTTCCACTAATATTAAAACAATCATCTTCTTTGATGACATCAGGAATGTAAAGATGAGCGGTAAACATTGATTGACGTAAATGATCCCACGATGGTTGACGATATAAAATTTTAAAATCTTTAATACAATATTCATTACCCGATTTTATTGTTGTGTCATCTACATAGACACATATAAAGAGTAATTAGACAAAAATTGAGGATATATGCCTAATTTTACCAATATATAAGCCTGAAAAGACAACAAAAATATATAATAATATCACCAGCTTACTGAGGATACTTTGTCGAGATTTAGCAATTCAATTAAAAGATAGTTTGCCCTTAGAGAGCTATTATGGAAACAGTACCTAATGGATCCTGTAAATATAATTGTATGGCTGTTTGCAATGATCTTCTCCTTTTTTCCCATTCATCTCCAAATTGTGTCAGTGTTTTGCCCCATTTACAGCTCGAACGTCGCTTTTTATCATCACATATCTTCTCATTGTTGTAGGGAAATAAATAATGTGGATTAATATCTAATAGATCGGATAATAAAATTAATCGAAAATTCATTGAACGAGGAAATACTGGAACCCACTCTACCCACGACTTTAGTTTATCACCCAATCCTGGGTTATTAAAGTCTGATAACGATGAACCAACTTCAATTTTTCCTTTTGAAGAAAAATAAACAACTCTCAATAATAGATCATCTATATCAAATGAATAAAAGCACTTACCACCAACGGTAACAATTGTTGTACTTGCATATTCTTGAGATTGATCCCTCATTTGTTTCGAACGACTACCGCTTTCTTCTGATCCTTTATTCGTATTCGTTTTTTGTCCTCCACTATTATGTTTGACTCCGATACCAAACAAACCAGCACTAACTGGATAGAAAGACAATGACTTTGACAGCGCTATATTGTACATAGGAAAATGAGTGAGTATTACCTGATACTCTCCAACCGTTTGAAACCATAGAATAAAAGTCTGACGTTGCACTTTGAGCAAATTCAGTTGTACTTCTGATTCGTGTACTTTCCTGTGTCCGAAATACCGACCACTTTCCCCCGAAATCGGCTTTATAAACATAGTGTGTCCCATATCGATCAATAAACTGAATTTAAACAGATAGATTGGTATGAATGACCTAATACTTTTAAATGTGATATGTATCCTTACTCTGGAATAGGCGTATGGTCCTCCCGGCTTAAAATAACTCACTGGTAGCTCAAGAAAATCAGCTAAAAAATCTGGGTTCAAACTCCATACGTCGACATTGTCCAATATCAATTGATAGAGATTGACTTCGAGATGAAATGTGGTAAGAATTCGTCTAAACACGTTAATCATGTTAAGGTTGCTTCTGTGAGCATATCTTCTCTCTTTTCTCTTCTATATTTCATACGCTGTTTCTTCTCTGTAGTGTTCAACAGACTCTTGATCTTGAGTTTGTGACGCTTCATTTTGTTTGCTACTATCATAACCGGCATTTACGGATGCAATGAAATCAACACCAGCATACGCGTCCACAACAGTACTCGAAAAACTGTTTTGAGACGTTTCAACCTCACTATTTTGACTTAATGCTTGTTGAAAGGCGGTAGTTGTTGCGAATGTGTCCTAGAACATTTTTTCATTTTACGTGCTATCGCAGAGTCGATTTACAAGGAGATTGGACGAAAAATATAGATACATTATGGCACATAGATGACCACGTAATAATGGTCGATATAGGTTAGACGCAACTGTTGAGACAAAGCTCTATAATCAACGCATTTGCGTAATTGGCAGCTTACTTACGGATTTAGCAGATGTGCGATAAACATTCACTAACGTTATACCTGAAATTGATACTTATATAAATAATTTAACCGAAATCGATTATGGTAGTTACGTTACTATCCGGAAGATCATAACCAGAAGCGCCACCAATACTAGTGCCACCACTTCTCGGTCCGGCGGACCCTTGAACATTAATTTTTCTTCCTTTGCTACACCATCGTGTAATCACCGATTTTCGTCTACTATCTTCACTATTTGTTTTTTTTGTGTCAAAACCGACACCCAATGACAATGCAGCTGGAAGGATCTTAAATAATACTAAGCATCAGTAAAAATGATCATCCAACAAGAAGACTGGACTTACTACTCGACACATTTTTCGGCTAACATCAAATTTAATGTATCGTCGACAATAACTATCGACTATATTCATCTTATTTAGATTGGTAGAACGACGACGGCGTTTCGTGATTACATTGCCTTGTACATCCGATGATTGACTCTGTGAAATTGCCTGCAGTTCTTCGACCATTGTACGTCGGGAATATTTACGAAAACATGAACTACATATACAAGACACGTAATATATTCGCAGTTTCCAGACACAGTTTAATAGGCTCTTTATGTATGATTTTACCTTTGCAAAAAAGCACCAATACCTAAAAAAGTATAACAACAATAAAGGATCAAAGTGTATATGAAACTCTCAATTTCTAACCAAGTGGATAATCGGCTGCACTTCCATAGTTGTCATGCACGTTATCTTCCGTAGCAACTGGTACTACTTTTATCGTTACATCACCAGTTTTAAATTGTGTTCCACCGATGGTAATTGGACTCGACTGAATACGTTGAGATAATGATCGCTTTTGTCTAGATTTTGGTTCATTTCGATGATCATAGATTGTTGTTATGTGAGCGATTTCCTCGTTTGATTTGAGTGGCACATTTGAAAGAAAGTCCTTCATATGTTTCTCAAAAAGAGTGTCTGGTATAGGTACTTCTACTTTTGGTATCTCAGTTGTTGTGGTGCCCATACGGAGGATCTGTTCACCTAGTTTCAAAAGATCTTCTAAGTTATCACTACGATTGCTGTCGGTTGAATTATTGATATCTGAAACAGATGTACTGCTACTTGTTTTATTAAGAGCGTTATTTAGAATATTATCTGCCCACGCTGTAAAATTCTTCATCTCATGATCAATCACTTCTTCACTAATGATTACACCAAAATAATACACAATAATCAATAAGACTAAAAATGATAACTGATTTGCCATAGTAGAAAGAGAAAATAATTTTTAACAGAATAAGGCTGTTGTATATACTTCAATTGAACAATAATGCAATTAGCAAAACTAATCAGCATTGGTAATAGGGCAATAAGTGCGTGGCTAATATATTGAAAAGAGCAAAATAATCATCATTTGAGGCTGTTACTTTTGCTTTTTTAATTTAGTATTATCGGTGTGTATGAGTGTTAGTCGTATTTTCTGATCTAGAGATTATCTAGCGCTCGGTCGATTCTGATCTAAGAAACCTTGCACCAACGCTATTGCTTTACTTTATCGCTTTTATTTCGTAATTTTCTTTTAAAGATATAGTTTTTTTAAAAAAAGACTTAAAATAATGTGACTGTAAATAACTTAGTTATAGACGATCTTGATTACTTCATCGGAAACAGTTTATTTTATTTTGATTTCAATTTCTCTTTTGATGTGTGATAGTGAGTTTGCAGTAGTATGATTGAAATTATCTTATCGACCTATTGTTAATGATAGTTTCAAAAACACCACCATTTCAGGAAAGAAGGATCCAACTAGGTGGCCAATATCGTGCGCAACAGATTTGTTCATTTTTATGTATACCAGTAGGAAATAGGAGGCCTTTTAGAAAAGATTGTGTTTGTATGGTTCACAAGACAAACTTCATTATCAAAAATAAATTGTACTATCAAGCAGAAAGATGTACATACAACACGATAAAGATATATGTATGTATATACACATTCGCGATCTTATCTATTATATCCCGCATAATAATTGCTTTTTCTTTTTCATTTAAACTTTAAACAATAAAAAGAGTCGATAAACGACCTACATTGAACGGTGAAATTTTTTTGACCATGAATTGCTCTGTTCATTATCGCTCAATCACAAACAAAAACACGTCTAATCGATCATTTTTATATTAAATTTTTATTGATATTTTAAGGTCATCAAGAGACAAACTCAAATATAATATTTGGACGACTCGAATATCTAGTTTTTTATATTTGAAGAGAACAAGAAAATATTGAACCTATTTACAATACTAGCTCCTACTTGTGAACATTGTAAAGTTTCTTTAGCCTATATTCTACTCCATTATTTTCTTGATTAGATAGAATTGTTGATTTTGTTTCTCTTTTCTACATAAAAACAACAAAGTTAAAATTGTTTGTAAGAATGCTAAATATTTATTTTGTGTTTCTAAAATTTTTCATCAACTTGTTTCTCGTGTATAATTCCGATTAATAGCCTTTTCAGTGGATATTTCAAGTGAGAACAATACTTTTAAATGTTTTAAATTCTTTTTTCAGTTTTGTTTTTCAGAACTGTCAGTTTTAGATATGACAAAACATCACTCTCACTATTCACTCTCTGTTCTGTGGAATATCTTAATTCACATAATTGATGATTTCAATTGGAACTATTACAGTTGTTTTTGGGTCACACGTTATCGACTTGTTCGATATATATAGAGAGTTTTATATGCTTAGATACTGCAGTTAAGCAATTCAATGAATCGGCTAGATGCATAATACTTATTTCTACTATGTATCTATCATTAACGTTTCTACTTTTGTTTTTTTTTATATACAAAAGGAATGTATAAAACGTAGCATAAAAAAATTATATAGAAAAACATTTTTTTCTCAAATATCAACGGATGGTGGTAAACATTTGCTCAATGTTGTTAATACTTGACGATCAGTCAATTTAATTCGTGTGATGTGTTGAAAACAACACGGATTACTAATCGATGATTTACTAACACGTTTATTAAGAACAGCACCACACGATGCACTACGATTATTACGATCAGTGACTAAGTGACGATTTTGAGATTGAGATGACAATTTTCCACCGGTTGAGTGAAATAAATTTACGTATCGTTGATCATTTTTTAGTTGTAGATAATAATTAAAAAATTCTTTTGACTGTTGTAGATTGGCAAAACGTAAAACACCTAATGTTTTTTGATCCGATAAACGAAATGTAATGTGTTGATCACGCGCATATTTCACATCACTTTTATACGTAATGATATCTTGCCATATGGGAAACCCGGATGGCATCATTCATATAAAACATCTACTTTTTTCATGAGGTAGATAGGAGTCATCGAACCTAATACACCGTCAATAGAAGATGTCTTAAATGAATGTCATTAAACCTTTTTCGGCTAGTACAAGTGATAAACATTCTATTCGTTTTGGATTGATGCCTGTATTCAAAAGCCATACTGGAAGACCACGTTGAAAAAATATCCAATCTTCTAGTTTTGATAAACGTTCGGCGGTTGTAACGAACAAATCAACGATACACTTACAAACAAAAACTTTTGAACCAATTGACTTGTACGATGATTCGACCGTGTAAACGTCTTGATCAGTAATCACTAAATTATTATTTTCTAATTTGGTCAAACCTATTAGCTGTTTTGAATAATGATGTTGAGAAGTCTTCGTGTTATTATCGTATAAAACATTGGCAGGATGATATTCAATAGTGTTTTTCATCGAAGAATTGTCTATTAACGATTTGCGGGCCACTACGATAAAAAAATCGTATAGAAACTTTATACTCTAAGCGTTCAAAAGGTCAATTAAGAGAAATTACATCACACTCAATTCGGATGTCTCTGATTGATTAAGACTACCGCCTACAAAAAGTTTCTGTGTGTCAAAATCAATCTTTTGTCATTATTTTAGATTAGGGTATTCGATAATTTAGACTATAAACAGAAAAAGAAATTATAGTAGAAATTTCTAGAAGTCGAGTTGTCAATAAAAACACTCTTATTCTGCAGCAATAAGTTTAAGAATCGTCAGAATGATTTTGGAAAAGGTCGTTCTTTTGACAATTGATCAGATTTATACTGGCATGAACATTGGTCTGTCAACGTTCATCTCTTTATTTACCATGACAAAAAAAAAATAATCTTACTTGTTGAACATCTTTCATCATCATCATCATCATCCGTTGACAGTAATCTTCCACAACTTTTAGCTCGATTGGATGTCATTAATTTATTATTTGTTTCTAATAAATCTGTAAAACGTTTTTCAATTGTTTCCAGTTCTTCACAACTTAGCCAACATTCTTCTTTTTGTTGTTGTTTCATTGTTTCTGTTGATAAATTCATTATCATTGATGGCTTAACAGATGAATGATTTAATCTACTAACCGGTGGTACACGTGCAACGGATGGAGATGGATTTATTCTAAACATCACTCGTGTTGTTGATGGTGGTGGATACAAAGATTGTGTCGATTGATAATCGTCTTTTCTTTTATTATTAACAGCGACAGACGATGATGCGATTATTCTGTGTTTTTCCTTGACATTGAACATGTCAAATGTAGCCGATTTGGATATAGGATAATGATGAACATTTGATGTAGATGATAGTACTGTTTTTCTGACTGGTAAAAATGTTGTGATTCTGTTATGATTATTATTTGATGTTGATGATGTATTCGAAGATGACGTAGATGAAGATGATGTAGATGATTCGATTGAATATCTATTTAGATTATTCATACTAGTGATGGTGGCTGTTGGCATTTTTTCCTTCTTTTCTTTTCTATTTTTTTTTATCGTGAATTGTTGGAATAGCTGATTGGGATCAAAGATAATTAATTCCAAAAAATAGACATGTTATGTTGATGAAAGTTTTTTTATTCGTTTCTTTCTATCACTTATTTTGACAAATGTATTGATGATGAACATATTGTGTGTATGTGAGTGTGTGAACTAACTTGAGATGTTTATTTGGATCAAGTGAAGAGAGTGAATTGAAAGTGTAATGAACAAGTGTGTGTATAGTATAGTTTATACTACAACCATATTACGACTTTACTTTGCTTCTCTTGTATAATGATGAATATTTGTTCGGTTTGAGAGACTTGCTCTTTCTTTTTCTTCTCGTTCTTCTTTTTGTTCATTTATTTTAATAATATCACGATAGGGAATTGATCAACAAAGATATTCGAATGCAAGGAGGAATGAGTAACAACATTTCAGTTGTCTTTAATAATAATAGTAACGGGTAGTCCACGAAATAATGAGTCTCTCAATACTTTGATTATAACATTTTCACCTTTTATTTTAAAAACTTAATTTTTCTTTTAAAAAATACCTTATTTGATTCTAGAGAAAACACATACCGAATATTTCTTTTTAATATACTTTAAAAATAAATCAATATGAAGGAAATACTACAAAGCGTCAATCTCTATTAGTGTCCAACCTAAAACACTACGCAAAATGAATTTATTTTCGTTACGATGCTATATATATATATATCAGAATAAAATAAAATTGTATGCTCTTGTGCTTCGAAGTATGGTCTTTCTTTCCGCGTATCATAGATTCGCGGTAAATGTATTGTCTTACACAAAAAGCGATTTTTTTTTTTATCGGAAGACGAGAAAATTTGACTTTCTTGCTTTCGCAGAGGAAAAGAAATGCTACTATTGGACTTTTTCTGTGGAAAAGTAATAGAAGAATTATTCTACTTTAAAATAAAACAAATCCGATCTCAAAATGTTTGATTTTGGCTGTATAAAAATTTTTAAGTGCTTCAAAACTACATTTTGAAAATGATAAATTCTGGATAAGTCGAAAAAAAGAAAAAGAATTCATTCTCAATCGCTTATGATTATGAAGAGTCTTAAATTTAACTAGTAGAGCTTGTGACGTGCTAGACAATGGGTACCGCCTCATCTTTTATATTGTAAGATAAAAGGGACTAACATTGAAAGGGGTTTTAGTTTTTGTTGGAAAGTAATAGAGATTGAGGTTTCGCAGTATTTCCTCCATACTTTTTTACTGTTAAAGTACATTAAAAAGAAATTGTTCAATATCTGTTTTCACGAGAATCAAATAGGACATCTTCAAACGGAAAATTAAGTTTCTAAAAAAAAATTTTTTCACCTTTCTGGAAAAGATGGAAGCAAAAATAAATGATTGAACCCAAATTTATACCAGCAATAGATAAATGAAAAAGAACATCGATATATTTTTGCTGTATGATTGTTTTTGTAGAAATCTAGTTTTATTCTGGTTATCTCGCCTCAGAATAACAAATTTACATAGAACCGAAACTTTTACCTAGAGGAATATCTCACACATCAAATTCTTTTTCGTTTGTGACCTTTTCTACTCAAGTTACAAAGAGGATCACAGACAGACACTGAAAAGAAGAGAAACATTTACAAAAACATTGAGTTTTTTAGGTAAATTTCGTGGAAAAGATCGCAGACACACTAGGAGTACTCCTGTTTTGTAGCTTAGACTTTTCCCTATAGCAAATTACTTCCAGCTTAAAATCGAAAAAAAAATTTTTAAAAAAAAAGAAGAAGAATACTCTTAAACGAGGACAGACGTCCCAGATAGCCCGTGTTTTAGTTGGATATGATTTATGAATAATGTTTATGTATAATGCGTTTTTTGAGACGACAACAATAGAAAAAAGAAAGAGAAGAAGATGATGAACAAAAAGAAACTTAGGAACCAAAATGTATAATGTAGGAAGAGAGTGATGTGATTAAAGTTTTAAAAAAATCTCTAAACCTCCGCTCTAATCGTCTAAAACTTGCGTCTTAATGTTCAGCTATAGTGTTTTATTTTCATTATGGACTTTAACGAACAACTTGACCGATTTAAGATCAATTTGATATTCATTCTATTTCTTCTTAGTGTAAGCTGGTTTAGGTTTTACATCGAAGAAACCTGTTCAAATATTTTTAAACGTTCTATTGTCTCATCTATTGACGACAATGTTCAGTAAGTTAATTGCACGTTTGTATACTACAAGAGAAGGACGAATTTTTGTGTCAATAATTTGTCTATATGTGTATCTGTTTCAGGAAATTCGTATACGTTCAGTTTCGTGTCTCACATAGATAAAGAGTAAAAAGATATTTATCTATCAAAAAATAGGATACGTGGTCAAGTTCGATTTTTCTCTCTTTTGCTAAAGGGGTCACTTATCATCATTATAAAATGTAGCCATCGATTTATTACCAAAATGAACTGTATAAAACGTCATATACAACGCTTCACTAAGATAAAATAATCGTTACAAACGATTGAGATATGTGTGATGATTATCTGATATATTATTTTTATCATGTTAAATTCACTTTTCATCTTTAAACGTGTGTGTGTATTCACACGTTTATAGTAACAAAAAAACTATTTATTAAACAAATTTGTATCTTCAATAGGACTTTAGAATAGTCTTTTTGACTTTAAAGAAAACCAATTTTGTATGAGTTCAACACTATTCTCACTAATTGGATAAGCTTATAGTAAATTCAGTCTTTTCTCTTAAAAGGTGCATAAATGAATCAATTAGGATAATTATATGAATTTTTAACATTGTTTAATAATATATCGTGACCTAAATGCCTGTAAAGTGAAACGATGAGTGTGTGTGGTGTGCATCGGAGTAATTTTCAAAATTTAATTGACTGTTTAATCGTGATCGTTCGTCTCGACACCCCTACACATTATAAATTTTGTGCCCTGTACTGTTGGTAACCTTGTATTTTTTTTGATACATCATGTAATAAGTGCATGTTTTTCAACACATTGATTCTCCTAAGTGTTATTAAAATACGATAGATACATATAATATCTATCGTAATTATATTACTGCTCATACACACACACACATTCACATTACTTAACAGTTCAGTTGATATACGTTTGCTCCATTTCTCATCATATTAGGGAGAGAAAATTATTGTTACATAGGGTTTTTTTCCTCTTTCCTCTTTGTTTTGTTTATCTTGGTCACTTCATTATCATTTTACCGGACACATACGCATTCATTCATTAATGAAATATATTTCCTTTACTTCACATACAAGAGTATGTCTGGTCACAGAAATGAAGGGAGAACAGTTGCATATTGTCTCAAAACTTTTTTTCTTTCATTCACTCAACATTTAACGTCTCATTGTGTTTTTTTTAAAATAGATACTTCATTTTAGTTTAGAACAGTCTACAACACACCGATATAGTAGTACTAGTAGGTAGGGATCATAAGAGAGAGAAAAAAGAGATTACGATGGCATCATTTCACTCATGTTTATGGATCAATTGAGATAATAAAAGAATGAACAAAAGAAGTTGTAAAGTTAATTACTATATTTATCTTTCTCTCTTAAATGCAGTATATAAAATATGCGCCGATGATTAATAACCCTGCTGTAAAGTTTTCTTGTACTCTATGAATGATCAATCCATTGGCAGAACCACAGTGTCAAAAACGATTGTCTCGATAAACCACCTTAATGGCTTCAAAATACGCTCACGGTGCGTAATGAAGGCATGTTAGGTGCATTTTCGCATCTTTTTTACTGTTAGTCACCTTGATATTTTGACAAAACACCTCTAAATTACTACTTTTCTTTTGATAAAAATAGCTTAGATGCTTCCGATAGACATCACTAACACAACAAATAGTCACACGGTACTAGCTACGACCAACAGATTTTGTCAACCATCAACCATAGTTAAATCGCGTAGTTGTATTCAAGCCACCGAAAATGCATCAAAACTGTTGTTAGACACAAAGTCATCCTAGTACCAAGTCAAGACATCTCTGACAAGAGAAATGGAGGGATAACATTTTCAGAAAAGTGCCCTATCTACATCGTTTCTTTGTCTATCATAATGAGTATTATACTCTTAAACAGACGATTTTTAATCAGTTGCTTATTTACTTCATTATGTTAGACCCAAGCCTAATTTGATTAATTCATGGATTAGATTTGAACGGTATCGCAAATGATACTGGTGATGCAACTACAGTGATGCAACTGTAGCCGATCTGTTAATATTTATAATATCCTTTCCTGACGCATATTGATGTCGGCAATGGCTATCAGCAGAAGAATTCACACTAGGAGATAATCTAAAATAGAATTGACAGTGTTAATGTTTTCATTAGATGTGTAGTGGAACATCTATCTTATCTATGGATTGATTTTTGAAAGTAAATGATTTTGCTACTCTAGCAAAGAGTTGAAAATAAAATCTTCGTAGATACGCATGAATACACATTTTCTCTATTTTAGTAAACAATCTCACGATATTTAAGTTATATCCCAATTTAATCGATTATATCGATAAAAACGGTAGTTTGCCTATTTGGTGCCTACACATTAGATACCTAACAAATAATTAAGTTATTATTTTCTTAACCTATGTATATTGAAGAAGAAAAACTAGCACTCTTTCTAGCTATCTCTTCATCCTAGACAGACATATTCATCTCTTTTCTGCATGTTTTTCATCAAAGTCCACTTTTATAAGACATCCCAGCTCATTAAGTACCATGATACCCATTTGAGAAAATTAAATAAATGATTCTATTATTTTCAGATTAATATTTTTATTTTGCAGCATATTGTTAAAGAAAGCATAAAATTTACCTCGCAAAATAATCGGCATGACTTTTAAATGACAGAAAATTGCCTAAGAAAATTTATGGGGATCTAAGTTTGAAAGCCTAAAAATTCCATAAAATAATATATTAATGAAATTTTATTTTTAAACCTTATTTCGATGTACCTTTTTATGTAGAAAAATTCAGAAAAATCAAGATTTAAAATCTGATACTTAATGTGTTAATGCATTTTAGATGTTTTATGGACATCGGGATACTCTACTTTAAATGCATCTGATTTACATGGGATAATGCATCCAATGTGCTGTGACTAAACATCCGCGATATCTGACGAAGATACTATGAGTGCATAAAACTGGAATACAGGCGCCTTCGTAAGGCATCGTGACACGTCTTGTACATGAAAATATCTTCTTATTGATAAAAAATGAGGTTGCCTCTAAAGTGCATTTATTTTTAATTACTTTTCCTACAGCGTACGTATTCCTGTTTCGTAAAGAATATCAATTCATTTTGTTAGAAAATCTATCCTAACCAATAGTTGACAAAAATTCATGTTATATTGACCAATATAAAACTGTTCAATCTAAAATTGATGTATCAATGTATTTGTCAAAAAACATGTGTTTTTTTATAGGCTTTTCTCGTTATATTTCACTGGATATGAGTGTATGTAGCATGATGCATTGTTGTATATATTGTACAATGTACAAATATGAACTTTGAAACTCGTGCAACTATATAATAATGTGTGTATCTCTATCTATATCAGATGTTTCTTTCTAGATGCACACCTATATATTTCGTACAAAAGGATGTTATTTATCATTTAAAATGCGATAATGTTACATAACTAAAAGACATGCCGTACAGATCAAAAATCGCTTTTAACATGTATTAAATTTTCGCTTCTCTCCCTCTCTCTGCGGTATTAAATCATATATATCTATTTGATTAAATAATATCACATTCGGCTAAGGATACAGTAAAAATATTAAATATAAAACAATATAAAAATGAAATTGGTCACTTTATGTTTGACACATTTCAACAGATAAACAAGGTTTTGTAATAATGACCGTTCCATTGACATAAGAGATTAATAGTATATAACAAATAACACTCCCCGTTTTGTTCACTTAAAATTTAGAATCGTCAATCGAAAATACATCATTAGCTACAATAGACCATAAAAAATGAGATTGCTATATAGAGTTTTTTTATTCAGATCTAAGCAAACCAATAACAGATGTTGTCAATACGAACATAAAAACAATTTACTTGTAAAGATAAGTAAATTTATTAGTAGGAAACAGATAGTAAGCATATTATTCAAAAATCGGTGCATCAAAATTAGATTACTAATTTTATGTTGATTAAAATGAAGAAATCTTGATTAAAGTATAAAATTATCATCATCTATTGACGAACGATTAAAAATTAAGAAAAGACGTTTTTATTTTCTTCAACTTCAGTATGCTTCGTACAAATACCTTTAGCTTTTGTATTCAGATAAAAAATGATTGATCGATCGTTCATGCCATCGTAGTATTAATCATGATTTTACATTTTGTGATATATAAAAGAATCATAGCATCTTGCTATTTATTATTATCGCAAGCCGATAAAAGTAAAAACAAGAGTTAGATAGCATACTTAAATAAGGTTAAATAATACGTTTTCGTATTTTTCGCTGTTAATTTTGTTTTACTTTCAGACATGTTGGTGAGACTATTATTCCAGTTAAAATGAATCGACATATAATGAACATTCAAGTGAATAATTCTACATACTAATACAAAAACTATTGCTTACAAAATTTTTTCTTTTTCACAGCACTTGTATTAATATTGCAATTAAAATAAGCTTGTAGTAAAAGTAAAATTAATTGTAGACATTCTAGTTCTATTTGAACAATCTCTGAAGGATAAAATCTTGTCAATGCGGCTGTTTTTCTAATCAAAATCTATACATACAAATAAAACATCAAGATACGTACGCGATTCTTGGTAAAAGTGTCGAAATGACAATCCATATTAAAAGAACTTGACCCAACACGTCAAATATGTTTAGATATATTGAAAAATATGTGTAAAATGCAAGAACGAAAGAATCATCCGACTATTTATACCAGATTGGGCCAGATACTCTATTCGAAACTCCTGGTAAAACTTCCCCGGGACTCTTATCACAGGATTTCGTAGGATGTCGGGTGAGACTTTTAAGAGACTTCTCATGACTTTCGCGGGACTTTGAATACTCTCTAAACCCAAAGGAGTCCTGCGAAGTCCCTTAAGAGTCCTACCCGACTCCCTACGGGATTCCGTGACAGGAGTCCTAAGGTAGTTTTGTCGGGAGTTTCACCTAGGGTATTTATTGAATAATGATTTCTAATAAAAAGGTACCTAAAACAAAGATTTTAGCCAATCTAAAAATCGGCGACAGTGGCGTTAAATTTAAAGCGTTTCACTTCGGCAGTGACTGTTTTTTCGAAAAATAAGATAGTTTTTTGCGTAAAATAGTCATTTTTTTTCTCAAAGAAAAGCGCTACAAGTTCTTTTCAAAAAGTTTCCGCGTTCGTCGCCATGAAATTTCGAAAAGATTAATCGATTGCGACGCTGCTAACATCGCTAATCATAAACAAAAAACTGCATAAAGGACCGCCTTAAGCAACAGCACTGTTTATTTTGAGAAGAGAAAAATTAAAAATAAAGGGACGTCCCTGCTTTGACTGACTAAATAGAATGAGTAACTTTCAAAATATTCATACGAAGCACTTATGTCTGTAACTGTTTTTTTTCCTTCAATCGTTAGACACTCGATGATACTCTTTTGTAACATAATGTAAATGAGTGAAAAACTCATGTTTCTCATGTTATCTTTGTCCCGAAACATTTGTTTCTAACAGTAATGAAGCAGCGCGTATGTGCATTTTGGAACCAGTGAGTTGCTAAGTGTCCACTTTTTTATATCAGTTTGAAAGTTTCGATATTTTGATTCTTGGCTTGTTTTGTTTTTGTGTTATTTCAAAAGTCTACTCGTGAATTTATGTCATTTTATATGTGACCACAACTGTCATTCGTTGTTGTTAATAAAATTTTTGTTTTTTCCACGTTTTCTGTAATTCTAGTCTATAATGGTTGCTGAATCAAGAACAACAGCATACCAGCAAACAAACAGTAATCATGATCAAATAACATTATCCCAATCCCATTCCAACATTCATTTGTATTACTGTTGTTATATTGTACCAAATACAATTTCTGCATATATGCGTTATATGTCTCAAATTGAACAACAGCAACGATCATCAATATGTTATCGTACGCTAAATTTAGAAAAAATATTAACATCGATATTTCTAACAGCACTGACATTATTATTCTACAATACGTTCAAACTGTTGATTATTCTGTTAGCATGTATCTTCGTTCTTTACAATATTGTAAGACGACCGGAACTTTATCAATTCTTACAATATCTATTGACAAAATTACAAAGAATGACTAATAGAAAAAACAAGCATGTAGATACTATTAGTAGTGTTTCAACAGGAAAAAAATATACATCATGTTATTACAACATTGATCCATGCTCTCAAAGTCTACTGATAGCAAACAAAACGAAATCAGCAAGTTTTATGGGACAGAATCATTCTGTTTCTGTGAAAGTACCATTTCTCTTTCACAACAAGCAACAGAGATTAATCACGAATGAACGAAGTATTCGATCTAGTCAAAAAGAACAGCCTACTAGCACATCAACAGTCTTCTTGAAAACGAGACCAGCATATACTGAAGAATACTTCAATAATGATGTCTCAAAATATGACAAATCAATACACTCAATTAATGATGATAAAGCGAAAAAACGTTTCGATAACTCAACGCTAAGGAATAATGTTTTTACAATTTCACAGAAGAAGCTATGCGATAAAATGCCGTCAACAGAGTCATCTGACCCTTATGGAAATGATAAAATACAAAGTTCAACATTGGATCCATCACGACCTGCCGCATCTCACGAACTGAATTATAGTACAAAAAATTATTCAGATGAACGAAACGAAACATTTCAAAATTTCATCAGCTCAGAGATAAGAACACCACATGTTCCGAAGTGTGATACTGTTCAAACGTCGTTATCTGAACAAGATGTCATTTCGACATATCTAGCAATACGTCATCATGATGGAAAAGAAAAAGAGGGAGATAATAAATTCTACTCCTTGTTGAATAGACATAATCCAAATAATTGTCGAGATAAACCTGGTAAACAGCATCAACCAGATAAGAATGTCAGACTAGAAAGACTTAATCCATCTAATATAAAAGAAGTTCACGTAACACCCAATGGTTCGATAAAATCCACAAATGTTTCCGACAACAATTTGCAAATAGTAAATAATACATTAACTACAACCGACATGGAAGCAGCTAGTTTCGATACAGCACCATCAAATTTAAATAATAAATGTGAAAAGCCATGGTATAAAATTAAACATCCATTTTCTCAAGAGGACTACTATAATTCAAGACATACAATATGTTCACCTCTGTCAAACGCAGACATTGATGTGAAAAGGATACATGTTTTTCAAGGGCACCCAACAACTTCATCACCATCGGAAGATCAAGCGCAAGAATATTCGAAACGGATATTATCTAAAAATGACTCGAATAATCTTCCATTGAATTTAAAATATAAACTCATACATCTGGATGAGAATGAACCAACAGTAATTTTGGCCATTTGCGGAGAAAATAGAAACATAACGGTGGAAAAACAAATGGAATGTTTAAGGCGAAGTTTCAACAAAGCAACAGAATATCTTCTTTCTTCACCAGATACACAGACTACCGTACTTCAACAACAGCGAGCCATTTCGCCGTCAATTGCACTAACTATTAGGTAGGATGAACTGTTATCTGAATGTGAGAGAAAAATTCTTTACCTTATCTAGTACCGGAATAAATGAATCGAAAACAAATATTGACAATAGTCTCCATGAAGTTTCCAAAGCATTGACGGAAATTCTCGATTCGAACGGCATACAACCGCCGTATGAGAGCCTACCAGAACAATCAAAGCGACTAAAATCGCCGAGATCAAGTCTTTCGAAATACGCTGATATTCCATTTGAAAACGAACTACGATCTTTCGAGAGACGATGTTCACGAACAGACAATAGTCAAAATGTGTACCCATCATTAGCATTTGATAACGAAGTATGGTTATAACAAAAAATATGACGCAAACCTTTCTGGAAAGTTTTTTCTCTTATTTAGAGTAGTGCAAATGTAAACGTTTCATCCAGCATGAGTCCACTTGGTTCTGAAAATAAATATGTTTTAGACATTGATCCATCGAATGAAAGAACTTTATTACAACAGGAACAAAAATCGAAAAGAACTTTATATCTTCGACGAATATTGGATAAAATACCCCCAGTCGATTATAATAATAAACAAATAAAAAACTCTGAAAACAAAAGTTCGAAAAGTGAACAAGAAACATCACGTAATTTAACTGTTTCATCATCGAAATCACATCAGAAAATTAATGATTCTTTAATAATGAAAATACCAACAACAACCTCGAAGAAGAAGAATACCGTAATTATATCACCGTGTATTGTTCTTGAACAATATGAAAGCAGACATCAAAAAGACAACAGTATTCAATTGTCATCATTGTCACAAATGTCTATGAAACAGGATGAAACTAGTGGTTTGGAAGAAAAAGCCGTAAGCGCAACAAGAATACAAAACCAACCCAGCGTACAATCGGATAAAATCGTTATCAAACAACTACAATTTATTGTCACTGATAGTGCACGAGATGTTATACATGAAGAAAAAACGTATTCATCGTTTGAAAAAACAAGAGAAGATAATATAGTTTTTCGGCGTGAGTTTTGATTCCATGGATCCTCCTTTTCTTCATACAAGAAAACAATTTCTTTTCACAAAGCTCGCGTTTGTGAAATGAGCATACCAACGTGTCTACTTTTACAATGTGCATATCATTTTCTACCCAACTAGTGCTCTTTATAGATTTTCTAAACAATTTTTCAGAAGGTCTGAAGCACGTAAACAGCAACGTGTAATCACCACGGTCAGTTTTATTTTGTGAAAACTTCCTAGGAATTATGAATTATAAAATTTATATACGTCGGTTTTTGTGGTTTGTAGCGGGTTTTTGTCAGTAGCTGTAAACACAGATTTCAGTCTTTCGAGGTGAAATTGTGACTGATCAAATTTCAATATAAACTTGGTGTTAGCAGCTACAGAATGAACTAGTAATAGACAGTACATTATTGATCTGATATTATTAGGCACAAAGTTTTTTAAAAATTGTTACCATATATCTTTTACTGATATATTAGGCGTTAATAATTTTTATATGTTAGTATAAAAAGGATAGATTGGGCTAATGACATATCATACACGTCTGTAATAGATTATGGTAGGAGGTAAATATGGTTTTCTCTTGAATGAAGAGCGTAAAAACTAATTATTAAACTTTTTCGAGTATCTTATTCGAAAAGAGAATTTGCATGTCGTCATAGAGTTCTGTTTTTTTGCTTTTTATCTATTTTTCAACAAAAAATAAATTTAAAACTTCATTTCATATGAACAGAAAGAAAACCGATTAATTAGAAGTTTCTCTCGCGCGCTACTATTCTTATTTAACTTCCTTCTATTTATACATGTTTTATGTTGTAGTCCAACAGTTCAATAGGAAGTTTTCACATCTTTGCTTCGTAGAAACAATGCTGACAAGCTTTTTAAGCATATAGTTTAGGTTAAAACAGATTCGAACTTTGGACTACTGCTAAACTTAACAAAAACGTATAATAAACGCCCTGTTTTACACTATGCATGCCACTTACGACTCTTGAACAATTCAATTACTTTAGACTCAAATTTTATGAGAGCCCATATCCACAGTAGACTTTTGTCTAAATCACATATGGTTTGGTCTCAACAACTTGTTTCATTCGATTAAAGTATTAAATCTGTATTAATGGGCAAAAATACGGATAGTCAAGACATTTCTCTTCTGTCACTGCTTGGTAGCACATACTGTTACATTTCTTACAGGACATACTAGTATATAGTATATACAGTCTATCTGTATATAGGTATCAGACAAGCAATTGATCAATTACAACGTGATATAGTCATACTCACACACAAGGGTACAAGTCAACGACCAAGTTTAAAATCGATGTCACTTCGGGATAGTATGACATTACTCACAGTCGATGAAGAAGCTATTTTAAAACTGACCACGTCAAATTTGATACGAGCTGTAATGGCGGTATCAGCAAGAAGATCAAATCTTAGTGGTGGTCAAGAAGGAAAGAAATCGTCAATAACATTAAGTTCGTCTCAATTTTTTTGCTATCTATTTCCTCTTATAGTTATATAGCATGTTATTCTAGATGGTCATAAACGTCATCATTTAAATGAACTTATGAAAGAAGCAAAAAATCTTGACACAGAAGAGTGTCTACAAAAACAAGAAGTACTTGAACATAGACGCAATGAGCATTTGAAGGGGACGACCTTATCCTTTTCACCGATCTCTCCCAATCCCACGTATACTAACATTCCGATTGTTGAACCGCTAACTACTGATCTCAAAGCGATAATAAAACAACATGCATCGGACGTCAGTACTGATACAACAACGTATATCAAATCAGACACATCACAAGATATGGGGGAATTTGATAAAACATTAACAAACTTATCACCAAGAAAAGAGGTGAATCATAATGGGAGTCATTTGGATCTGTTATCGTCATTAAAAAATGCCAAGAAATCATCTCATTCGCACGATCTAAGTGATACTTGTAGCACACATTTACTTAGAGCTGATGATATTGAATCGTATAATAATAAACTGATGCCATTCGATCTTATTAAAGAGCGGGTGAATCCGATTTCTGCTGCCACATTTGCAGTGACAACTGATGATTTATATTCTAGTAAACACGATGGTATTTGTGTCGAAAGTGACATAAATAAAATGAATTATGTGATCATTTCGCATGGAGAATTTGAAACAGACAAATATCATCGAAAATCAATACAAGAGAATATGAGTGCAGTACTAAATCAACCAAATTATTTGATGGTAAGCTTTAGGCTGTTTTAAAATTCAAGAGAGTAAATTTCTCGTTTGTTCAGTACTCTACACAATCTCATTGGCTTCATCAAACACTGCACAAAAATGCGTTATCAATCGATCAATATCCGCCTTTTTTAAAACCACACCATGATAAATTTCGATTTTTGAAAGCATTTTCGCATTATATTTATCGAAATCGAACAAAATCAGTCGTGTTGACTACCGATATTAAAGCAAATCTTCGTAAACGTTTTTAAAACATTCGCTTTTACTAATTCACTTCCAACATCGATCGAACAGTAATTATTATCAAATAATGTTACAAAAACAACTTCAGAAATTCCTATTAGTAGAAAATCATTAAACAAAAATATGAAACAAGTTAAAATGGTAAAATTCTTTTGAGTATATTTGGAAAAAGACATTGTATTATTTGACAAGAAATGATGCGAATAAACAGAAAAAAATATTGTACGTGTGAGATAAAGCAAAATAAACGAGTCAGTAGATTCAAAAACATCTTTGTAGTATAACTTCGTATATTTCAATTTTATTAAGTTTGAATTCGAGAATATACGAAAAGAAGATGCCGACGGATTAATCGAGAATTATAAAGGCTTTAATTGACTAGTTGATGATCTTGTTAAGGAAAATTTCATCTCGGCACATTATCTTGGAAACATGCAAAAATAATCAGATAGATCAACAAGAGCAGGCTAATACTCTTTCTACAATCTCAAATAAACTATATGAAGATAAGAGCGTTGTACTAGCACCTCCAAAGGTCGACGACGATTTTTCTTTAAATACAGATGATGAGTTTTTTATTTCTCTATCTCTATCGCTGAATTCTGTTAGGCATGAACACGTCATTCTATTCGTCCTCTTTCCTCCGCTACGTTACCCGTTTATGATTAAGATTGAAGTTATGATGACATCTATCACTGTTCATATTAAACATTACAATCATGAATAAGTACTATAATTTGTATGGTATTTACAACAAGAGAGAATTGAGATCGATGTTACCAACATGATGAACTGCAACACTGTCTAACAAAAGAGCTCTACAATTACCTATTTATAGTTGCTAATAATGTTATTTTATTACATTTGCATTATGTTCAGAAAAATATATTTCTATTTACTTGAACAATTGAAAAATATCTTTTATTTTAGAATCAGTTAGTCATATATATTTTCTACTTGTACATTTATTTTTATAATTTCCTTAGAACGAAATCCGACTGTGTATTATAGACTAAATGATATAACAAGTGCTTAATTTATTCACAATGTAGAATATTTTAAGTATCGAAATTACTAACAAAATAATGCAGCTGCCATCTCTCATTTAGAATATCCATGTACGTATTATCTCTTTTCCTTCTGTTGTTCCTCAAGAATATATTTTCTATTGAATTTATTTCAAATGGAAGATGAGAAAAAAGCAAAAAGGAAATAATGACTATGACTAATAACACAACTAAAAATAGTTTCAAACCTATGTTTCTGGGAAAAGTGCAAAAATAGTCGAAGAAGTTTTTTTTTCATCTGTCTGAAATATCAAAAGTATGCGTGGTATAGAACAAAAAAAAAATCTAAACAGACGCACTTTTTAATTAAATGAACTATCTCAGTGTGCATTTTAAAATGCAAATAACAACATGAATGCCATCATAAGACAAAACAGACCCATAGCTTCAGATAATGCAAAACCCAATATAGCATAGGAAAATAACTGCTGTTTTAAACTAGGATTTCTAGCATAACCAACAACCAATGAGCCAAATACTGTTCCAATACCTAAAAAAGAAAAAGAGAAAGTATAAACGTCTGTTAAATACCCATGAATATATCAAGTTTACCAGCTCCTGCGCCTGCCACACCGACTGTAGCTGCTCCAGCACCAATATATTTTGCTGCGCTATCGATATCATATTTTATTGATGATGTTTGAATTGAACGTTGAGGTTGTGCAGCTGTTATTGTTGGTAGTTGATTCAGAAATAAATTATTCTTACTAGCCATCAATGATGACAGACGACATAAAGCGGATGATGATACGAGTGGAAAACGTGTTATTGCTGACATGATTGTACTTTTATTAGACAACGAATGATCTAAAAGTTTAGCAATCTTAGCCTGAAAACCTAGTTTCAAAAGTTCAAATATAAATCTTATTTATTTTTCGTACAATTAAGACATCTAGCTAACAAAGAGACACCTCTTACCACTGCTGTTATCATCTCAATATATGGCGTATCTTTCCTGCAGTTGATCGAAATCAGTTATAATGACGCTATCGCAAGGAAGCTATGTTTTTTTTATTTGAGTATGAGTACGTATTGACGAGTGTGTGAGAGATTGCAGAGATATCTTTATGCTAGATTGCATATTTAAACTAGTCTAAATAACTCGATTTAACACCTATACTTATCAATCAATAAGATAGTCCTCAGTCTTTCAGAGTATTTGTATGCAGAAAAACACAGTTTTCTCACTAAGATAATCTGTGATCATTCATTATAGGTCAATCTCGTTGACTGAGTGAACAATGTCGTTCTAGAATTCGTTTTACAACATGCCATATCTATACGACAGATGTTAGTCAGTCTCCATATCTGCGGCGACGAGCAATCGCTAATTTTTACTCGGAGGCGACGGTGTGAAGGAGAAAATAGAGTTCAATTTTCGGTTGCAGTGGATAAATTTAAGGAAACTTATTCAGTGGAAAACAAACACATTTCAGCGTTTAAATATAAAAAACTTCTCATAGGCGGCGGCTTGGCTAACATCTTACTGTACTTATACAAATCAAACATCCTAGTTCAAAATTAACTTTTTTAGCGTGGACATAATATTACTAGCCGAGTACTTCGATAAAACGAGGTTTGAAGTTGCCGTGTGAACGAAATTTTAACCGGTCTCGACAATAAAATATAATGTCCACCATAAGAGTTATACTGGCTCCAATTGGTCAAGGGAACAATCTGAGTTTACGCAGTAATTATTATCTTGACAGAACTAGTATATACAGTAGAAATTTAGTTTCGAGTATACGCTAAAACAAATTGAATAACTTGCTATAGATGACACTCATTAACGGCTGCATAGCGCTAGTATGCTTACATTTACGTCAATAACTGACCAAGGATGTTAAAGACTTTTCAGATCAATTGTCTTCGATAAATCGATCGGCACTCATTCAAGAAAACTGACTTTTGTTAATCACAGGATCTCTGATCCTGAAATCACTTCGATCAAACCATTCACACAAAAAGATCCATGATAGACAGCACTTGAATCTCCCTAAAAATCTCTAAGTGTTGAAGCGTCGATGATGATTACAGTACTTAATGGTGTGTTTGCCATTTATCGTCATCAAAAGATAGTATGACTGATAGGATAGTTGAGTTCAATTACCAAACGAAGAGGCCAATCAAAACAAGAAAAAAATCAAAAACAAATCATTATATTATCTTCACTAGTAAAAGTGAAACAAAAGGAGAAGGGCTGCATTAAGACTGATTAAAAAAGTAAAAATATAGATTTGCTTAACCCTTGATGTCCGATTGTCCCTTCCAGAGGATATCACCATACCTGCTAGAAAAAGTAACGCAGCGCTAAATCAAAACTTTTTCAACCGGATTTTTTTCCAGCATACGCTGATACTCTATAAACTAACGATTGCTAATAACAAAAAGTTTTATGAAGTCTAAACAAAGGTGTACCCGTTTCAAGTTTGATTTGCATGATTAGTTGCCGGCGTAAAGGGTGTCAAATAAAAGAATTTCATGAGTATGCTGGTAAACAGCAGCAATCTAAAAAGTAAATACAGAATTCCACTATAAATCTTTATATGCGAGTTGCATGTTAATCTGTAGTGAAACTCCTCGTAACTAAGATCTTGACCTCTTGTGTTCTTGTACCCAGATCTTGATAATTCTTGTATCACCGTTTTGTTTCACGTTTTCCACTCAAAGATCTTGGTTGTACACTTTGATTTTGGGTGTACACTCTAAAAAGACATGCGACTTAGGATGAAATTAAGTCGTATCAGTGTGCCTTATGCTGTGAAAATAAGACACATTAATGCGACTTAATTTGATTCTAAGTCGCATTTTTTTTAGAGTGTAAGATTCAAGAATCCAAGGTCTCTACTTCTTGGTGTTTTTCCAAGATCTCATGACATTTCTTAGTTCAAGATCTTGAACAATTTCTCGAAAATTAGTAGAGATTATATATATACCATGAGTCTGTACAAAATAGAACGGTAAATGAGATTTACTATGGGAATCTCGTCACAACCTTAATTGATATCATGGCTGTAAAAAGGGTGAGTGATCTCTGGAGGGCTCGAAATCTTATATGAAAAGTTAGCAGTTCAATGGTATCTTAGCTCCTGTTTTCAATTTTCTCTGACCATTTTTATCACAAACATTAACGAATGTATGTCCGTCAATCTCTCTCTGACAAAAAATTTCTGTTTTTAATTAAAAGAAAAACAATTACTATCGTAAGGACATATTATGCCATACGAGCATGTTGACAAATTCTATTTTATATAATTGAAAAATGTTTTCGTAAAATCAATTTACATAAGCGAGCTTTCGATACTTCACAGTATCATCATCAGGCTAATATGACTGTCGAATCTAGAAGAGAGATTATTATTTTTATGTAAAATGATTTTACGGAAATGTTCAATTATATTAAATATACTTAGTTTTATAAAAAAAGTCAAAGAATATCAATATAGTTGACAAATTCAAATGTGAGGATCGGACAAAAAAATTCAGTGCACAGCAGTGTGCTATATGTCACAGTAGGACTGGCTAGTCACCGGTTTAGATTAATACCATATGCTCGTTTCTACTTTAAAAGATTGTTCTTCTAATACAATATAAGCGTGTACAAAAAGCCCATTATCTAGATCAAGATTAGCAAGAGACTGTTTCTGCAGTGCAAATGACGCATACTCAAACGCTTACTGGCTTCCTATTATTACTTCTATCGAGGATTAAAGATTTCCATCTTCCACCTTGGGAATATTTCTACAACAGATCTGTTCAGCAGATTCTGCAAAGAATTGTGCCACAATCTATCACTATTCTATGGCAAATTTTGTGCAGAAACTTGCCAGATTTCGTCAAAATGTGCATATCTGTTGAAGATTTTGGCAGATTCTGTAAAAGAAATTTCAGCATCAAGAAAGCTCCCGCTTCAATTTTGTAGTCTGTGCACAGAGCCTACACAGAGGTGTAAGTCATCGGATTTGATACACTCTATGAGATAGAAGTTCTGAACCTCAAATCTAGTTAAAGCAACTGAACAACTCAACTTTGCGACAAGAAAGTTTATATCTCGCTTTGTCTGAATCGCTGTGTACTAAAAATCATGATTTTAATTATTTGAACAGTTAAGAAAAACAGATATTTTTTAGAAATTCTAAGGACGTGCCCGCTTTCCGATGCAAATGGAAGTTTGAAGTTTATTTTTATAGGTAGACGATTTCTATGTTTAGAGCAAGTTTTATACAGTAGTTGTAAACACCATTTTCAATAGCCATAAACTCAGTTTTCGGTAGTTGTAAGTGTTTTGAGTACATTTTGATGATCAAATCTTCCCTTCCACTTTTCTGCGTGTTTACAACTACTGAAAATAAAAGGGTCTTTTAGTGTCCGAAAGCTGTTCTACTGTTGATTTGTTTCTGCTCATCGAGCATTAGGCATACTTGCGGATAAAGTTTAGGAAGTTTTCACATTTTTTTGATCCAAAGTAGCAACCCTGGCAAGCTTTTCTAAAGATCACTCGCGTCGACGATCATCGGCTATTCACCGATTTGTTTTGCAGTGGACCAAGTATATAATGCAGAGTTTCAAGAAAAACTGTTTCTTTTTAGATAAATTTTTGGGATAGGGCTGTGTCTGGTTCTTGTCAGAGTCAACTCGATATGAGTTAACTTGTGCACCGCGGCCAGTCAAGGCTCCAGGCCGGTTGATCGAAATTAGAACTTCAACTTCAGTTGATAGCACTGTTATAAGACAGTGGCTAAACATCAGTATACCATCAAAACTAGGAAAACGAAAAAATATTTTCTCGGGGAAGATTTGAACTCGGGACCTACACTGTAATCCTGAATTAATTTCCACTTTATAGAAAAATCGTCGGGGATTTTCTAGTTTATAGAAATTCCTCGACGAATTTTCAGCTTTCTAGGAAATGTTGATTTTCTACTTTATAGAAAATCGACTTGATTTTCCATAAATTCGATTTTCTGCAAAAGTGGAGAATCGCTGAGGATTTTCTGTAAATAATTTCGAAGAATCTGGAAATTCGATTTTGATTTTCTATAAATTAGAAAATCGCCGGCGATTTTCCAGAAAGGGCAAATTTGCCCGGGAATTTCTAGACCAAATACTTATTCATCTTTTTGTTTTGCAATCAGTGTAAGTATAAGAGCGTCATGTAAAGACACTCATATTACACTTAAATCAGCTTTGACAGTTTCTACTTTAGCTTACAATTCTGCATATGCGAGTAAGAATTTTGATTTAGGCACAGACAGTGGTGGCGCGAAGTTTTGGTAGGAAGGTCCGAAATCGGAGACGTTCACCAGAAATTTCTCAAAAGCATGAGCGGGGCCAACCGCCATGCAACCTGGTCGCGCCGCCACTCGGTGCAGGCCTGTCAAGGAATTTTCAGTTTATAGAAAATCAAAAAGGAATTTCTACTTTCTTGAAAATTATTTATGGAAATTCAACGGTGATTTTCTAACAAACTGGAAAATCAAGGAGGGTTTTCTAGATTATTGGAAATTCGATTTTCTGTAAACTGGAAAACCGCGACTTGTCGTCTAAAATTCTAAAAATTACCAAAAAGTCTGTGACTTCTAGCGATATATCAATCAAAATGTCAGTCGCGATACGTCGATTTTCAACCGACATTTAACACGTGGATCTTGCTATGTATAAGACGACCACGCTCCCGTTTGTTTCTAAATCACAGAAAAACAGATACAGACAGTTTCGTTAAACACCCCTACAGAAAAGCTTTTTTATCGGCACAGATGCGCATCGATGCGAAATTGG